TGAAAAAATCCCTGTACTATAGCCCATGGTTTTTTCAAAAAATGGCTCCAAAATCACCCACAATTTTTATTACATTTTCTGATACATATTGATGCCCTTATGCTATGTAGAAAGTTTGAGCTGATTCCGGCTTCAATTTTTCAAGTTATGGCCATTTTAAGAAAACGTCAAAATTCTGAAAAAATCCCTGTACTATAGTATAGCCCATGGTTTTTTCAAAAAATGGCTCCGAAATCACCCACAATTTTTATTACATTTTCTGATACATATTGATGCCCTTATGCTATGTAGAAAGTTTGAGCTGATTCCGGCTTCAATTTTTCAAGTTATGACCATTTTAAGAAAACGTCAAAATTCTGAAAAAATCCCTGTACTATAGCCCATGGTTTTTTCAAAAAATGGCTCCGAAATCACCCACAATTTTTATTACATTTTCTGATACATATTGATGTACTTATGCTGTGTAGAAAGTTTCAGTTGATTCTGACTTCAATTTTTCAAGTTACGGCCATCTTAAGAAAACATCAAAATTCTGAAAAAATCCCTGTACTATAGCCCATGGTTTTTTTTCAAAAAATGGTTCCGAAATCACCCACAATTTTTATTACATTTTCTGATACATATTGATGTACTTATGCTGTGTAGAAAGTTTCAGTTGATTCTGACTTCAATTTTTCAAGTTACGGCCATCTTAAGAAAACGTCAAAATTCTGAAAAAATCTCTGTACTATATAGCCCATGGTTTTTTTTCAAAAAATGGCTCCGAAATCACCCACAATTTTTATTACATTTTCTGATGCATATTGATGTACTTATGCTGTGTAAAAAGTTTGAGCTGATTCCGACTTCAATTTTTCAAGTTACATCCATTTTAAGAAAACGTCAAAATTCTGAAAAAATCCCTGTACTATAGCCCATGGTTTTTTCCAAAAAATGGCTCCGAAATCACCCACAATTTTTATTACATTTTCTGATACATATTGATGTACTTATGCTGTGTAAAAAGTTTGAGCTGATTCCGACTTCAATTTTTCAAGTTACATCCATTTTAAGAAAACGTCAAAATTCTGAAAAAATCCCTGTACTATAGCCCATGGTTTTTTCCAAAAAATGGCTCCAAAATCATCCCCAATTTTTATTACATTTTCTGATACATATTGATGTCCTTATGCTGTGTAGAAAGTTTGAGCTGATTCCGACTTCAATTTTTCAAGTTACATCCATTTTAAGAAAACGTCAAAATTCTGAAAAAATCCCTGTACTATAGCCCATGGTTTTTTCCAAAAAATGGCTCCAAAATCATCCCCAATTTTTATTACATTTTCTGATACATATTGATGTACTTATGCTGTGTAAAAAGTTTGAGCTGATTCCGACTTCAATTTTTCAAGTTACATCCATTTTAAGAAAACGTCAAAATTCTGAAAAAATCCCTGTACTATATAGCCCATGGTTTTTTCCAAAAAATGACTCCAAAATCATCCCCAATTTTTATTACATTTTCTGATACATATTGATGCCCTTATGCTGTGTAGAAAGTTTGAGCTGATTCCGACTTCAACTTTTCAAGTTACGGCCATTTTAAGAAAACATCAAAAATCTCCCATGGTTTTTTTCCACAAAAATGGCTCCAAAATCATCCCAAATTTTATTAGATTTTCAAATAAATAGTGACATACGTACTTTTTCAAACTCCAGTTTGATTGGTGGGGGGAAGTGAGTGGATACATAAGCAGCTGCTTCTTTGCCGCTAGCTATACTGTCAGTCACATTGTCATGTCCAAAGAGGATCATAACAGAATCAGTATCACCATAGATTACCTAGTTAATTAATAGTTATTAGTAGTTATTAATGATTATTATACTTTGGTATCATAAGGAAATCCATTTGCTACACAATATTTTGATTCTATGAGTTTCTGAGACGTTTCAATCATCTGACGACCAAATGAAGTCACACTCTACAAAGAAAAGAGTAACCATTAATTATTATTATTATTATTATTAATTAAACTATTACCTGAGATATTTCAATGCAAGGTAGTTTGCCAACTGTGGCCCCAGTGAAGCCGTATACTGAATTAGCACTGACTTTAAGCGCCAACTGTCGTCCATCCAGCACCTGGTAAGGTTGAAAGACAAAGGAACAAGCATCCATTCATTATGAGTCTCACTTTCTTTCTGAAAGGATCAGTTTCATTCTTAAGTTCTTGTTTCGCTCTAAAAAATAATAAAATTAAATATTCCATAAAGCCAACACACTTCTTCCTAGCTGATAGTAAATCCTCCAGTATTTCGGGTAGAATCCCTCTCCGGACGCTCTCCTTAACAAAATAATTCCCAGACGGAGTCTTAATATAATCCTCAGGGTCCAACCTATTAATTAATTATGACCACACCCACTATAATTATCCATCACTAACTTATCTCTGTCAACATTCCTCAAAATGAGTGTCGTATAGCAGAGATTATGAGCTTGCATTATCGAAGGATACAGTGAAGAGAAGTCCAGGACTGAGATTGGGCTGCTGTAATACCTGCAATATAAAGAGTGGGTGGAGTAGTAGGCATGGTTTATACTAGACACACCCTCTCTGTGGCTCAATCACGTGACCTCCAAGATATTCCTCTTGAGACTCGGACTTTATGACAGGCATCAGTAGATCATGCTTCTTAGCCTGTGGAGGAGAGAGCAATAACCCAAGAGGGCCGACCATACATGTACATACACATGTATTTATAAAGAAAAGGTTTGAACAAATTGATTTATACTTTTACTTAGTTAAATTGTTAAACTATAATAAGAAATATATAAAGCAAAGTAACAAATTTTAATAAAAATTAATTAATCATTATAATTATTTCTTTTTCTTTTTCTTATCGCGGCTCTCACTGGTGTTCTCTGATTCATCCATTAGATTGAAAACAGATTCCCGATAACGGCTTAGGTCTGCCATCCGGGGTAAAGCAGGTGTCAATGGTGGTATGGCAGACAATTCAGTGACAGTAGATCTTGCATCGGTTTCTAATGGCTGACCACTCTTCTCTCTCTTCTCATTCCACCATTTCTTGATAGACGACAGCGATAAAATATTTCTAATATTTCGTAGTTTTCTAATATTTCGTATCTTGGGCCATTTAAAGGATAAATGGTACAGTCCAATGGGAATGAGAGCAGAGTAAGCCAGAGCCACTAATGTTCCAGCTATGATTGTTTGCAGGACGGGGGCAGTGCCAGAGCTATTTTTAGTCGTATTAGTAAAGTACTGTGTTACTAATAATAGAACAGTTAGGTTTACCGTGAAGTAGGAGTTGACACGATTCCGCCACCTTCCTTTGAAAGGCTGGACGTTTATCTCAATTATCAGGAAAAAGAATAAAAATAATATCAAGAGAAATAAGTCAATCGGATTTGGTATGAACTTTGCTGTCAGAAAAAACAGGAGACGAATGAGTAACTTAACGCTGAGCCAAAAACGAAACTTGGGCTTAAACGGGTACCAAAAAGCGTCGAAAAGAGGTTTGAAATAATTGAATCTTTTGTAAAGCAGAGGAGGATGAACTAAAATAAGGGGAACAGTTAAAGTATAAAATATTAATATCAAGACGGCAATGACGACAAGGACAGAATGGGCTCCAGAAAAATATTGAACAGTTGGATCAAACTTCCAGTGAAAACGATCCACAGAAGAGAGAGATGTGATCCAAATTGGAGTCATTATACTGACTGATATTTCAGTGAGTTGAACATAACAAATGACAATGAGTGTGACAAAGGCTTTGCTGATTTCTGTGCCGTATTTAGACAGATACTTGATCCGTTTGGCAGCAATATAAGTGACACCCATCAGTATGAAGAGGTACAGCGGATAGAGGAGGTAGAAGAAGGTTCGATGGGTTAAGTTGAATCCGTCAAAGAAGCACAGCTCAAGACCACAGGTGAATAAACTCGTTTGAAACGGATAGATGTAACTGAGGGTCGGGAATATCTTGTATGTGTAAAGGGAAGCAACATTCTCGTAGAATATGAATCCATTTATGTATCCTCCTGTTATAGTGATTCGAAAATAGACCAGTACGACACTGAAGAGTAGACCGGAGAGAAGGAAGAATGGAACGACAAAAATGATCCACCAATTTGAACAGAGCTGACACTTAGATCCAGCAATGGTGAGACTGTATCCCTCCTTGCATTGGCCACACACCAGTCCTTCTTTGTTGGCATCTTCCTGACACTGATCAGAGTAAGAGCCATTGATAACCTTTTGGGTAAGAGAGGTGAAGCATGGGTAGCGGTCACAGTCACTGACAACTAGATTATCAAGTGTGGGGTTTAAATCACGGTCCAGTAACCCAAACCATTTGCCGTGTGGTACTATGACAGAGAGTTCTGTAATGTTACAAGTTATACCGAACTCCTCCAGTTCATGAATACAGACACATGAATAAGAGTCACTGTCATACTCAAACCCAGGTACACACTGGCCTAGTGCTATACTAACCACTTGATTAACAAATGAATCCGTGGTGAATATCTTCAGTCCAAACACATCGTTCTCTTTACCATGTAAGGTAAGTGGGACGACAGTGTTCCCGTCTAAAAACCAGTACCCAGAGGTACCTAGTTTAGCTCCCCCTGAGGTCTGGTTTGAAGTGATTGGTACTGACAATGGCCGATCCAGTTTATCCAAAGCAATCATATCCAAGTAGACAGTTTGACCTGGAATACCACTCACTGAATTACCGGACAGCAAAAGAAGAGACTCTGATGCTGTGTTGATGGAAAACAATGGATTTGTATTAATCACTAATATCTTATCAGGGTACAATAGTTGCAATAACTGAAAGGTGTTATTATAAGATGTGATGTTGGACTCAAGAGCTGCCTCATCAGCCCAAGGACAGTTTCTCAATGCACTACCATACAACACATTACCAAGAGGAGCTGTATTTCCAGTGATTTCAATGAATGAGAAATTCAGTAGCAAAGAAATGAAGCAGTCATCATAGACAATGCCAGGATTAAAACCAGCATGGTTCACATAGAGGCCTCCACCCAGTATAACAGCACTGTTATTAATGATAAAGATGGAAGATTGATCACTAAATATGACTGAAGAATAGTCCAATAGTTGTAGCCCACCTCCATAAATTCCAGAATTACAAATTAAAAAGAGACCGCCTTCTTTAATGGTTAAAAGTGATTGGTCCAGTACCAGTCCTGACCCATCCCTACTGTCAGTAATTGTAAGGTTCTTGGTCAAAATATGTAACTTCTCCATGTCAATGGCACCGGAGCTGTACGCTACATTGTCGTCAAGATTGGTAATCAATGTCGTCATGGTAACGAGCGTGTCCTCAAACACGACCAGTGTTCCAATGTTACTCCCGTGGGTTTTTAATTCAGCGAAATAAGCAGCTCCACCAATGGTCCCAGTATTGCTGTGCAACCAGCAGCTGCTGATAATAATGAGACTCACGTCTTCTTGATGAAGGGACTCTGAGAGCTTGAAAGAATATAATGAAATGGCTCCACCAAAGAAAGCAGAGTTATTATAAAAAGTTGAGTCCTCTATCAAAATACTGACATTTCGTCCAATCAAATTGTACTGATTGAAATCTCCTGCGAGCTCTTTCAAACGTAAAAAATCCAATCCAATGGCCATGCCTCCACCAAGAACCACAAACTGATCATCGGCACCTATGGGACTGGGAACATGGCCGTTATCAATAAAGAGGCACTTGTGTATCTCAAACAAAGCATTCCGTGCAGTGGAGAATGTAAATATCGTAAGGCCAGATCCAAAGGTTCCTCTATTAGAAACAAAACTACAAGAATCAACAAGAAATGAGGTCTTTATTGAGTGAGGTACCTGATACTGAGCAACCAGCAAATGGAGCCCTCCCTCTCCTGGTCTGAAGCCCACCGGCTCTACCGTAGGGAAGAACCTTATCAAAGCATTCGTATTGCACCCCTGGTTGCCATGGAAATGAGATCGAACAACATGGACCCAAGCGGATTCATAAACCTCGTTGTCATGGTAATACAAAGTGGCCCCACCCCCCACTAGCTCGGGCCCAGGGTTAGAGAGGGACATGACGTACTGATAACAAGAGGGACTTGTGTTGTTAATAAAATAAGAATTGACAATGTACACCACTCCCATCATATTAACACCCAACAGACCCAGACCACTGGTATCACGGACTGTCACTCTATTCAGCGTTGTATCAATGGTACTGCTTATTATTAATCCAATCCCTATTCCTCCTGTAATATTGAGCTCCAGCCTAGGGCCCAGCTCATCCGATATATACTCCAGCTGTGAGGGGTCTACTCTACACCGGGAGAATGAGAGCCCCTCTATATAGAGACTGGTTATATTGTGGAATACAATACCAACTGAAGAGGAACAGTGTATTGTCGTTGGTAGATAAGAAGAAGAGAAAAGTTTAATATTCTCAATGGAGGCTATTGTGACAGGCTCAGCCAAGGAGTGGATTCCTGGTTCAAATATCAGTAAAGTATCTGAAGCTATACTTGAAAGAGCTTCACTGACATTCATACAGTAATCTCCTGTCATATTGGTATCAAACTGACTGCAATCGTTGCTGACTAGAACTGAAAGACTTCTTGAAAATAAGACAGAGAAAAGTAGCAGAGAGAAAATGGCAGCCATGATCCCTTTCTTTGCAAAAAGGATATGAGCATTGGTATGATAGAGGTATAGTGATGGAATGTATCAGCTTATACTGTATGCTGAACTTTTACTATTAACAAACTAGATAAGCTAAATTATATTATATACAGTAAGGTTTTCACTCAACTTTAAGTGAAAATTACCAAAATTAAAAAATGCAAAAATATAGCTTACGCATACAATTAAAAGTAGATTAATAATAATAATAATAATAATAATAATAATAATTTACTTTTCTCAGTAGTTGTGATACCACCTTGATCTGTTGCCCTCTGGTCAGTAGGTAGTTCAATGGTACTCCAGTCACTCGAGCCATTTCAATATAATTTATCAAAGACATCAGTTTCTCCAAGAGTCTTAACGGGAGGATAGCGTCCTTCATACAGTAGACGGCTAGTCTTCTTCTTGAGTCCTCGTTCCCATTCTATTAATTAATTAATTAATGCAGTAATTAAAGGAACAAGTCCTCAAATTGTTGAGAGTAGATTATTTTTAAGTTGCTCCAAAATTGGGCCAAATTGTCAAAATTGAAAAGGAGAGAATTCTCTATTTTTATAATCTAATCTGATACATGTACATGTACTTCATGTTGTGCACAAAATTTGATCTGATTCTTATCAAATTTTACAAATTTTTAAAGTTGATCTGAAAAATCTGATTTTGATTAGAATCAGCTCAAACGTTGATCACAATTGATTTGATTCACCTGTAGATCAGTGATAATGTTATGAGGTACGTCCTCCTTCTGCTCCTTAAGGAAATGGTAACTGACAGAATTGAGAGAGTACGACCGTAACTTTGTGTCTCTGAACAAAACCTGTCAAACCAGCTCATAAAACAGGTTCATCAATTAATATATTACCTGTAATAAATCAAATTGGACCCGCCCACTTATATTAATTAGTTTATTTTCTCGCTTCCCGTACGCCTTTGACTCAAACGTTGATGTTTTAATAACTGTCATGGCGGAGGTGGTACGACCAAGGTAAGGGAACTGCTGGAGCTTCAAAGCTTTAGCTCGATTGATGAGGTAGGGAAGATCAAAATTAACAATATTGTAACCAGTTAGTATATCAGGATCAGTCTCCTGGAGGAACTCACACCAGCTCTGGAATGAAGAAAATAAAAACAGAAAATAAGGACAAGTAATGTGTACATGTGTAAGTTACATTGAAATCATTTATTAATATCAATTTATTTATTTATTTATTTATTTATATTTCTTTACTTGTAGTAAGTCTTTCTCGTTAGCAAAGGACCTCACATCACTGCCAACAATACCAGAGCAAGAACCAAGAGTGAACACGTTACGGATAAAAGGGGCGGGGTCACCTTGCACCTGTATCATGTTAGCAATTTGAATAACAGGATCAACGTCAGCCTCAGGAAAGACCCCCTTTCTCCCGGCACACTCGATATCAAAACTTAATATTCTTAACGGAGCTATCTTCTGCCACTCCCCCTCGGGGGTGTGACTTATGAAATCATCGCATGACACATCTAACTCAATCTGACACCTTGTGGTGGGTGTGGTCACGCCAGGAGGGCCAAATTTACGTAGAGAATATTTCCCGGGGGGCACTTCGATCCAATTACAACCCACGACGTCAGTATCGATCATAAATCTCACTTCATACTCAATATTCGACTCAAACACTGAGAAAGAAAAATGGCCGACACTTTTGACATCTAGTCCAAGTTCGAGGAGACGCTTAGCAGGAGCAATGAAACGAGGGAGGGAGAGGATCACCTTAAGGAAGGTATTTGATTGGTTGAACTGATACCCATATAAGGACGACTTGGATACTACTTCAATACCTAGTACAGGAGTGGGTGCAGTCTCACGTGATGAACGAGCGTCGGATAAAATGGCGGCAGAGAGAGCATCTTGAAATGCTTTGCATGTTATGGGTGTGGTCTGAGGGAAAGGGGAAGCAACGTAAAGGTAAGGCATGAAACTGTGGACGTGAGCACAGACTGAGAAACCTTCTTGAGTCACACCGTACATCTTAAGGACTGGGACTGACGGCAGGTGCCTGTATGCTGAAACACCTATGTAATAAAAATTTGGGGTGATTTTGGAGCCATTCTTTGGAAAAAACCATGGGCTATAGCCTTGGGTATTTTTCAGAATTTTGGCATTTTCTTAAAATGGCTGTAACTTAAAAAATTGAAGTCGGAATCAGCTCAAACTTTCTACACAGTTTAAGGACATCAATATGTATCAGAAAATGTAATAAAAATTTGGGGTGCTTTTGCAGCTGTCTTTTTGAATAAAATTAACTAATTATGATTGTCCCACCTCTAATAGGACTGGATACATAGGATTCAATGTCAATGTGTTGAAATACTACACTGTCAGTCGATGGGTCAATGGGAGGTAATGAAGGACGTCTCCATTTTGATTCCGGAGAAGAATCATCTTCATCTTCCATCACCTGTAAAAGAGGAGGGGCAGTGGGCGGAGTTAGATAGGGTACCCTACTCTACCATGTCTACTCACCTCAAGGAGTGCAAGGTCATCTTCAAAGTTTGGAGGAGGGGAATCACTGTCTCTGGTCTTTAGCTTCTTGCTTGAGCTGCCAGCAGCATTGTCAGGAGGAGGGGAGCGCTTAATGGAGGCCATGTATATTTTGGTATTGATTTCCACAAATTTTTCCAACGCGCCTTTTTTTAAATTTGCAAAATTTTTAATATAATGAACCAATTCGAACACGTGGTCTGGCAATCGACAAAATTATCTCTAATCTTTTGTTAAATTATAAAATGAAGACAGAAATAAGAAATATTATAATACATAATAATAAAGAATATAAACAAAAATTAATAATTATATTAATAATAATAATAACAATCATTGATGAACTGTAGTTAATGAGATGCAATAAACTAAATTGAAAAATAACAAACAACATCATCAAAGACTTATTTACGTGATTATTAGGAACAACAAATCAAGAAATGAAAAACAATAATAGACAACTTCTTCTAGAGAAGTATTTATTTAATTTGGAGGAGGGGGCGGGGGAGGGGGCGGAGCCTCACTGAGGGGTAAAGGGGGAGGTAGGGGAGGGAGAGTGTGATGATGTTTATTTGAAACGTGATTAGAAGAATGGTGCCTGTCCTGTTTTGGGGGTCTGTTTGGGTCGCTGTTGCCATGGTGACGATGATGATGATGTTTTGATTGTCGATAGTCGCTGAGAGAGAGAGATTGCTTGGAAAGACTAGACGCTGAGGGCTGAGATGAAGCTTCCTCCATCTTTATCTTCTTATTCTTCGGATAATGAGAGTCTTTAGGTAACGAGTGTTTATGCTGATTGCTACTGGGCGTGGTCTGTTTGTTGACCATACCCCCAGCTCCACCCGAATTATTCTGGTGATGCAAGTGATGATGGTGATAGGCCTCTTTGTGCTTTCTCATTTTCTGTTGGTCGGGCGGAAGAGAGTGAGGTGGGCGGTCCCCATGTATCGGGGGAGGAGGAGGGGGAGGGGACGATCGCTGGATTTTTTGGGACACTGGTGGGTGTGACTTGCCAGAGGAAGGAGGAGGGGCTTGTTGTTTTCTGGTTTGAGAAGAGGATGGTCTGTCTTTATGTTTGTGATGAAGAGAAGGAGTAGCAGGGGTTGAGGGATGTCGACTTGTTCCTTGACTAGAAGAAGCAAGTGGTCGACCACCCTATGGAAGGAAGGAAGAATAATTGATGTGTGCAGATTGCTCTCTCTCCCCTCCCTCTTACCTCAACAGCCATTCTAATGTTGTCTTGAATCCTTTTCTTTAATCTGCTCGGGGACTTGTCAACAATATTTAGAAATTCTGTAGCTAAACCTGCGAACAAGAAGGCAACCAATAATAGCTAGCCAGTGAACATGTGTCTTAGTCAACCACAAACAAACAGAAAGCTTTCATAAAGGAATATCTCAGGATTCAATAGTAATAAGGAAAGAAGATAGCATCATCAAAGAGATACATACTGTACTTGTACAATGAGACAAAGCACATGCATAATACACTAGCACTCCCTCTCTCTCTCCCTCCCTCTCTCTCCCTCCCTTACCTTCCAGTTTGTCATACGTTACAGATCTGTCTACATATTCCCACCAATTCTTATCATCAGAAGATCTTGGAATCTATCAGAGAAAGAGAGAGATCATTATAAAACAGTCAGACAGTGTATAAAGTGTCCCCATACCTCAAGTCCCTTCCAGGCACAGGTTAGGTGTATACACATACATGCCACTACTGTTGGTGGGTGCTCAAGACAAAACGTTGTCAACAATTGACTACAATAAGAAACAAATAAATTAAATAAATCATTTAACAATATTGCAGCACCTGTTATGAGCTAGGAAGAATGCGGCTTGACTTAAATCCCGACTCACTGCAGGAAAAGGAATAAAAAGTAATTGATGAGTGGGTGGGGAAACTCCGCCTACCTCCTACGAGATTCATGCACTGAACTACGTGAGGATGAGGATGCTTCACTTGAACATCAAAACCTAATTAATAAATAAAATAATAATAATAATAATAATAATAATAATAATAATAATAATAATATTGTACCAAGTGTCTGAAGTAGCACTAACTCATGATAAGTAATATCATCAATTAGTTTAGTATAAACCTGTTGTAGCATAATAAATGAGGGGGAGAGAGAGAGAGAGAGAGGGGGAAGAGAGAGAGAGGGGGGGAAGAGAGAGAGAGGGGGGGAGAGAGAGGGAGGATAAAGAAGTAAAAAGAATGAAAGTGAATGTCACAGGCTTACTTCACTCTGGACGTCCAGGTCCAGTCTGTCAGGTTTGTCTCTGTTCACGAGTGAGTATGAACACTTTGCCACATGCTCCAGTTTCCGAGGATGCTCTTCTACCTTAGCAGCAAGAAACAATGCAGCTGTAGCTAGCAACTGTGAAATAAGCAATCATTAATACATGTACATGTACTTTGTGGAAATTAGTTAAATAAGAATTCGAAGCCACGCCCATATAATTAACTAATTTAAGTGTATCTCATATAAACCATTAATAATAATTATCATTATTATTATTACTATAGTACTTATAGAAACACAAAAGAGACACTTAACACAAAGAGGCATTGAAAAGGACTACATTCACTGATCAAATAACACTTTAATGATAATAATAATAAAAAATAATAATAAACATGTAAATAATGAATACTAGGGACTCACCACTCTGTCGAAAGCCTTGAAAGAGTTGATCATGTAAAACCGATGCATATAGACAATGGCAGTACTCATACAGAGAACATTTCTGTAACACAAAACACAATCAAAATAAGAGGAACACACATACTGTAAATACAAAGGTTCATTGTGTATAAAAGAGCCTAGTTCCCTCATAAAAGGGCTCATTTGCATTAGATATTGGTTTCTGGTTATATTTTAAATGCATAACAAGACTAATATAGACTATAAGACTGAGGGGGACAGAGAGAGAGATGGACAGGGAAGTCACCCACAGGTTAAGCTTGGGCCCCATGTCCTGTATAAGACTAGCGGCATCTTGCCGATATCTCAACTCCTTCTCAGGGTCCACACCATCAGCCCTAGAGGGTGAGTTGGACAGCTGCTCCCTCGAATAATACCAACGACGTGGAGGTGCCTCCTCACGCTCGGCAGCCATTTTTATTTTTGAGGGGCACCCACCACAGTGTGGGAGCTACTGCGCATGCGCAGAAAGGCAAAAACAAAATGGCGACTGCTACAGGGACCTCACCTTTAGCTAGCCATTAGACTTTCTCCTTTGCACAGGAGCGGCCGCTCTCCTTAGGCACATCCAGCACACCAAAAGAACCTCTTGTAGCTCTTTTCTTGCTCTGTAGCACGCCCAGAGCTCAGACTCAAACCAGTCTTTTTTGATAGAAAACCTCAGTTTTTAGCCTAAAAACAGGCACTAACCACCATTGTGCTAGCAAAGCCTGTGTGAATGTGTCCTTTATGACTCCCACAGCCTTTGCTACTCAGCCATGTTTGTGTCACTGAGAAAATAAAAGTCGTCTCGGCTTTATATAGCATCACGCCCACACATATACCGTATAATAATCCTAATTACTCATGGGTGTAGTGAAAAATTGTACTAATAAATTATTATTATGTAAAATTAATGATTTTTAGCTTTTACCACAACACCTTTCACTTGCTGAGAACTATACAGCAAAACAGGACGTTGTTGGCTGCAGCAGTCTTTAGAGATGGCTCTACCTCCTTCCCTCCGTTCCACTGGCTACTACAAAGGACATCCCATTGATCTCAACGACCCCATATGTCTGTCTCTTCCGAGGGACATTATTTGGCCGCTGTGTCTTCATTTGTCCAACGAGCAAGCTCTTATAATGGACAGCGGAGGTGGCGACTGGCGTACACTCGCTGATTTCATAGGCCTGCCCCTGAGGATAATAGAAATGATAGAAGACTACAGAGGAGACAAGACGAAAGCCTTCACTCTCTTTAAGCTATGGGATAGAGGTATTCCAGTCAATCCCGGCTCTCTCCTCAAGCTAATCGTTGCTTTACACAAGTCTGGCTTTAGGGACTCATATTTGAGGGACTTTATAGTGTCTCCACTACAAGGTAATGGTAAATGGGTCAATCAGCATTTGTCACATATTTGTTGCTGTGTCTAAAATCCTACATATTTGACCTCGTTAAATTTTATTCTAGGATGCATACCTTTCCAAGACATCAAGGATTACATTGACAGGCTATCACCGGACGAGATGTGTCAAATGTTCCCACGTCTAACTGTGAACGATATACATTGGGACGAAGACCTTGAGGCGACCGTTGTCACACTATCGGACGAGGTTGGGTCTACCGGAGGACGAAGGAGCCCCACTGGCAAAAGAGGTAAGATATTCTTATCACTAAAAATGAATTAAAGCGAAGAGAGGATGTTTTTCCTTGCATTATAAATGAAAGCCTGATAAATGACAATCATGCAGGTACATGTACATGCACAGATCTATACACAATACACAATACTTCCTAATGTTGTATGCTTGAACGAGCTGGCTTCTCTGGTGCTAGGCTTGGCCTCTCTAATGTGGCTTTAACTTTTTTGAAGTTGGTAGATTAAATTTTCTCTTTGTGTAGATCTTTATCTTCCCCAATCAGCCTCAGCTCGCATCATTAAAGACAGCATATTCATATCACATTATTATGAATCAAGGAGCAAGGACTACAAGAGAGAAGTTGAGAACATTGCGAAAATTTTTAAACATCGCGGACACTGTGTTTGGTTTGGTCCGACTATTACTGGTCCCGAGAGAGATCACTGTATTCGTTCAGCTGAGACAATCCTTGTTGTGTTCAATGTCGAGTATCAACAAGCAGAAAGAAACTTCTATCGCAAGGACCAATGCTCCTGTGTGTCACCAGACATCTTGTCTATTAATAATTTGTTTTACAATGTGACAGGGGGCAGACAGAGGATAATTCCTGTCCTTATAGACAAGTGTCCTCGTGTTAATGACCTTCCTGTCTGGTTGACTAGCGTCCCTAAAGTACACTACCCCAGTCAGACTAAGGCACTGGTTCACATTGTTCAAGGGGTCAAAGAGTACGAGACTCCAAAAATAACTGAAGTGAGACGAGTGAAGCCTAAAGTTATCGACAAAGACGCAGTAATGAGAAGATTCGAAAAGAACAAGAGATCGTGATACTACTGTACGTGTCAGTTACAATTCTTCATGTTAACACAACTGAGTCTGTATAATTACGTGTTCTAATCATATAATCATTCTTGACACTTGTTGCCAGGAAATTCCAATGTCTAAATATAATTTCCTTGGCTTTCCTCTTTATTTAATATTATTATAATTATTATATTATTTCAAGGCAGCTGCTATTGTTTCCTTAAAGTCTGCACCTAGAGCATTATAGTCTCCTATTAATCTCCTCCTATCCAATCAGTAATGTACACGGCTTGTTTACATACAATGAAACAGGTTGGCCCTTTTCTGTGAGGTTCATGTGAAAACCTTACCATATTCCCCTCCTTATTATGGCTTCCTAGAAAAGGAAGTACCTATCAGAAACCACTCTCAGACCAGCGGTCATTTTACATCATTTGGTTAGTATTAAAGATAATGTTATGACAAAAGTGACCCTGTGTGTCTGTAGTATAGCCCTGGGTTTAAGTGTGATCATGAAAGTACATGGTACAGGATAACAACTCAAGAATGCAATGAAAGTGATAAGTTATGTAATGAAATGGAGAAAGAAAGAAGAATACAACAACCCCTCACTTTTAAAATGCATACAACCACACATAATGATAAATCCTTATCATGATAATGAATTAATGATTCATCTCCATTTGCATGTGACATAGTGTATAGTTTAATGACAATAATTTAAATGAGTGATTTGCATTGCATTCACAAGTACATACAGTTGAGTTAAACACGTTATTAATGTATAATAATAATATAGAACAGGGTTATATAATAGTCAGCGTCTTGATCATTCCAGCTGTCGGTTTCCTCCTTATCTCCAAGTGATTCTAGTGCTCACAACAGGGCTGAAACCAAGAGAATGAAGAAAGAGGAAATCAGCCATTGCTTTGCAAGCTTTCTTGTGTCCCTTACCCCAGTCCTGTCTCTGACATGTCTCATTGCAATACCAGGCATTCTTACATGCACCACATTTCTTTAAAGATTTGCTCTCTTGACCACACCCCCAGCATGTATCCTTAGATGAAGAATACTGTTTGGATAGTTCCGCTAGTTCATTAAGACCGCAAGGAATCACTTTAACATAATCAAGACTCTCAATTCTGATGCCAATTGATCCATCCATGAAATAGTGCTGCTCAGCAAAGAGAATTGCAATGGTATGTCCGACCTTGAGCGTGTGGAAATCAAAGACACCGGATTCCGGATAAAAGAAAAGTGGAATGTTTTTACGACCACTTCGGTCTGTGACGATCACTCGGTTTCGCAGGAACGGAGAGAGTGAATAGTTTGCATTAGTGATCTCTCCTAGGAATACCCAGTTACGACATGGAGAGTGAACACCAAAGTAGTTTGGAGTGTAATAGATCTCGTCAACATCATTATCATATGGCAGGCCACTGAAAGGAGGAGCAAAGAGTTTTTGACTAAGTAAATCTCCGGATTTGTTGCTGGATTTCTTGGATTTTTTTGTTCCAAATCCTGGAGTTTCAGACATGGCTTCTTCTTTGATTTTAGAAGAAGAGCAGAGTCCCTCTATGTCAGGATGAGTAGGACGGAATATAGCCATTCTAATCTGTACCTGTAATCCAATTATACAATCAAAATAAAAGGGTGAGTGCTGAATCACTGCTGCTGAGTCTGCTCATGCTGATTCAGCAAATAGATATGGGAGTGGTCAAGTAAACGAGCCACGCCCATTTAGTATTGGGCGTGGTTACTGTTACTATAGTAACGAATAAATTAAAATTCAAGAATGGCTGTAGAGGTAAAAGGGCCAATTACTGGACTCAGGGAACTGCAGGACTTGCAGACGAGCAGACTAAGGGAGAGGCTGGCAAAGAAAGCAGTTTCTAATAACAGTCCAACCTTGCTCACAATTAATGTAGATGACAACCTTGATCTTCAAGTAAAAGACATTCTCTAAAATGTTGGCAAGCTATTTCAATCAATTTTAGACTCATGGAGGAAAAAATAAGGATACCATTACCCCTCATGCTGAAGATGAAAGCTTGGAGATGGAATACTTGCAGAAAGAAGTTGAGGTATGTAGTACATTATGAAATAGGCTGGGATCAAGTTGTGATAGAAACTTCAATTGAAAATGTCCAAGTCAAACTCTGAGATAAAAGAAAGAGAAAGAGAAATCGAGAAACTGAGAAAAACAATTAAAGAAGAGAGAGCAGCAATGGCTGGTAAGGCAGACGCTATGAATGAATACCGGAATGATATGCCATAACATTCATGTTATAGAAGCTGGGTTGAGTGGATCCGTGACACAGAAAATAGTTGAAATATCTCGCAAGAATCGTGAGCTTCATGCTGAGCTAGCGCGAGAAAGGAACAGAACTCAAAAGGGACAAGAACAAATCTCTGAATTGAAGGAGCTCTTGAAATCACAAGAAGTAAGTTACTGCAGCAAGTGACATGTTTTTATACATCCATATGCAGCTTCACATTGAAGAGATAAAGAGAGGAACTGATTCTTCAGTTGAGCAAAGACAAAAGGAAATGATATCTCAACTAGAGGAACAACTGAGTCATGCCAAGCAGAAACTGACCGAGTACAATAATCACATCCAATTGCTTAAACACGACATTAAAGTTGCACAAAAGGTGCATAAAGTACTCTTGATATAATGCACATATTCATGTTTGTTTTAAGGTTTTGGTAAAAGAGGTAGGAGAAGGAGCCACCATTGGGAGTTTGACAGCTAATGGTGATGGGTGGAGGGGAAGGGCACAGCAAATCCTCTCACTACAAAATAAAGTAACCATAATATCCTACCCTACCATTGCTATAAAACTCCCTATCTACTGTGCACTATTGAATTAAAGGTTTCAGAGCTACAGGGACAATTGGAGGCCCAAGGAAAAGTTTCTCGTGCTAGTAGCAGAAAAGCACAAGAGCTAGACAAGCAAAGAGTTGCTGTTCGCAAAATTGAAACAGAAAACAAACAGAAAATACAAGTAAAGTCAAAACAATAGTCTTGTTTGACCTTTCCATGCACGCATGTAGGAGTTGAAATCAGAACTGGAGTCCCATCAGTCTGATATGACTGAACTAAGACAACAAAACAAAGCACTGAAAGCACGAAACAACATTCTGTCATCAGAAGTAAAGGAATATCGAACACAAATCAACTTACTGTCTCAAGAGTTAAGAGAGAAAGAGAAGGCTGTAGCTATACAGCAAGATGAGGAGATTCACTGTGCAGCACAGCAGCAAAAGGAAACAAAAAAGATGAGCGAATACGAAGATAAACTAAGATCACTTCAAAGTCAGTTGAGCCACAGTCGAGGTGAAAGACAAAGGCTACAAGCAACCGTATCAGAATTACAAAATAAACTAAGTGACACAACACTGACTCATCAGACTAGCTCTAGCTCCAATGTATGTACACGAACACAGAATAAAGGAATAGAAAAGGACTCAGTAAAACTGCCACCGATAAAAGAGGCAGCAGGCAGACAACAGAAAGAGAGCAAGCCTTTACTAAAGAACACAATGTCTGCTGGGAATAATCATGAGCCTCAAGGAAAGTATGTATATCGTACATGATGTACACTTATAATCTATAATCTATAATGTATGATGCATACTGGTAATGTATAATGTATGATGCATACTGGTAATGTATGATTTTGTGTAGATATTCAAGTGAAGAGTTTGAGCAGGTGGTGGCAGTATGCCGTGTCACTGAAGTTGAAAGAGATCGACTGCTAGGACTCAGTCAAATGCTGCAGCAGAGGTAAGAGTAGAAACAAACTACCCTTGATAATGGACTGTATTTAATATGGTATGTGTAGGTTAGATGGAGCATATACTGAACTGGCGAGCCTCAGACAACAGCTAATGCTAGCAGAGAGACTGAGTAAAGGGAAAACAAAGAGCAATGAAGAGGTGAAACCAATCACTGAGCTACAGGAGCAGTAAGCATTATCATTATGATCCTGCTGTTATAATAATCATTAATAATTAATTGATAATAATTAATTGTAGGATCTTGTTAAGAGAAGATGAAAATGAAGTTTTGAAGGAAACTCTCAAATTGACGCAACAAGAAAAGTTAAAGGATATGAAACTTCTTCAGAACCTTTTGCACGAAACTAGACAAACGTTTAACAATGTTTTGAAAAAATCAATTTAAAAATAATTAAAAGCAAACCTCAATCTGTGGCTAGTTTCTCTATTACAGCTGCATACTGTGTCTCAAGAAGTTCATATTCATCTTGAAGGAGCCTCATTCTCTCTTCTCCTGACAATAAAGGAGCAGCTGCTACCAGTTCTGACTGGTCCAGACCACGAGTGTGCAGTTTCTCAAGATCTTTTTGTTGCTTCTACAATAGAAAAGAATGCCAGAAAAAGTAATAAAAATTAGGTGCCATTTTTTAAAAAGCAAAGGCTATGGTCTTTGCTTTTTTCCAAAAATTTGCTAATTTTAAAGTGACCATAACTTGAAAAATTTAAGTCAGAATCAGTTCAAACTTTCTACATAGCATAAGGGCATCAATATGTATCAGAAAATGTAATAAAAATTGGGGGTAATTTTTTAGCCATTTTTGGAAAAAACCATGGGCTATAGTACAGGGATTTTTTCAGAAATTGGCCCATTTTAAAAAATGGTCATAACTTAAAAATTTAAGTCGGAATCAGCTCAAACTTGCTACATAGCATAAGGACATCAATATGTATCAAAAAATGTAATAAAAATTGAGGGTGATTTTTTAGCCATTTTTCGGAAAAAACCATGGGCTATAGTACAGGGATTTTTTCAGAAATTGGCCCATTTTAAAAAATGGTCATAACATTAAAATTTTAAGTTGGAATCAACTCAAACTTTCTACATAGCATAAGGACATCAATATGTATCAAAAATGTAATAAAAATTGGGGGTGATTTTTTAGCCATTTTTTGGAAAAAACCATGGGCTATAGTACAGGGATTTTTTCAGAAATTGGCCCATTTTTAAAAATAGTCATAACATTAAAATTTTAAGTCGGAATCAACTTAAACTTTCTACATAGCATAAGGACATCAATATGTATCAAAAAATGTAATAAAAATTGGGGGTGATTTTTTAGCCATTTTTTGGAAAAAACCATGGGCTATAGTACAGGGATTTTTTCAGAAATTGGCCCATTTTTAAAAATAATCATAACTTTAAAAATTTAAGTCAGAATCAGTTCAAACTTTCTACATAGCATAAGGGCATCAATATGTATCAAAAAATGTAATAAAAATTGGGGGTGATTTTTAAGCCATTTTTTGGAAAAAAACCATGGGCTATAGTACAGGGATTTTTTCAGAAATTGGCCCATTTTTAAAAATAATCATAACTTTAAAAATTTAAGTCAGAATCAGTTCAAACTTTCTACATAGCATAAGGACATCAATATGTATCAGAAAGTGAAAATACAATAAAAAGAGTTACTGCCCCTACCTTATACGGCCCGTTAAGCCTGTTCTTCACAAATAGTCTAAAATCACGATAATCCTTTGACTGACGACGATCAGTGACCCTCAACCTCAGTATCTCATAGACTCTTCTGGACTGTCTCTTCAAGCAATAAATTAAAAATAATAAGTTGGTCAAATGAGCTTGTTCTTACTTTGCTAAGCTTCAGTTTCTCTTGACAATTCTTTTCTATTTCGTTTGAATGAAGAGGTGACGATGTTGAAGATAACTTCAACGCATTGCGACAATCAATATAATCCCTCAGAGCAGTGAATTCATCTGATGGATCCTCAACTAGCAGCAGAAAAACTCATTTAAAACAGCTGCTAAAGTACAGGACCACCCACCAGTAATATCCAGCACTCTAGTATCAGAAACCAGGTCATCATACACTGCTTGTAGGAGCTGCCCTAAAATTAGAATATTAATAATAACACAATCCGTAAATGGCCACACCTCCAAGTCCTTTCCGCTGATAAGGTGGTAATATTAGCATTTGACTATTAAGAAAGGGTCAGTTAAAATTGAGAGTGATTGCTCGTTCAAATTTTACCTGATCCTGGGTCTTATTTTATCAGGGTAAGCGTAATAAGCATAAACTGTTGCATAGCCAGCAATGGCGTACTGACCAGCTGAACTTCTCTTGAATCTAGAGACAAGTGGGAGACGTATGTGTACAAGTATTTCCATCATGGAGCATTGAAGAACTTACATTAAATAAAATGTCCATTTATCATCATCAGTATCTATTAATAAATAGACGTACATGATAATGATATTCATTAGCCTACCGATGTAAGACGCTGCGTCTACAAACCAGATCAGAAAGGTCTGTAGCTTCTCATGGTACTCCTTGAAACCAACCGAGCTAATGTCCACCTGTAAATGTTAATATCCCATAGTGACAAATAATGGTTGCCATGGTTATACTTTGTATATCTCGTATCTGTGGTCGCTGGTTTCTCCATGAACATGTAGTAATTCGCCAAAAGGTGTAAAAGGGTGTGGCCTCGTTAATTTAGAAATGAAATGATCCTGATTGGTCAGAAAACCTAAAAATGATGAGACGGTAATGAATGGGTGGAGCATGTTGCCACGGTTACCTTCAGGTATCCAGTTTAGTAATAGTTTAAATATGTTATCTGGTCTAGCCCCCTGATGGAGACGAGGGTTAACCTTATCATCATAATGTATATCAATAAAGCTTGTTAGGTGATCAGGAGTGTAATATAACTAATAGTTCATAAAGTTAATCATTAAATTAATTATATTATTATTACTTTTATTTTTAAATTCTTATATCCAAATATCTTCTCACTATCATTAAAAATTATTAATTAATGTACAATTCATTAATTGGGGAGTGGCTAACTCACTTTTCAAAAACTTGGTGGGTGAATTCAGGACGAAACACCAGCTCATCGTTAAAGATGTCTGCCTCTTTTTCAACTGGAGGGAGAGAATACAATTTCAATGAAAATCAGTTTTGAATATTTTACCAAATTTGAATTCAATTGAATCCTGAGCTGAAGACACAAATCCCTCCAATTCTTCTTCTGCTCCATAATGAAACATGATGGAGGAAATAAAAACTAAAATAATAAATTATAGTTATTTTTATTATAAATAATTGCCAGCCCCGCCCCTTAGTATTCCCGCGCTTTCCCGCCTCTATAATAACAATAATATTAAAACAAAAAGAAAACAACAACTATAAATAGAATAAACCTAAAAAACAACAATTCTTAATATAAATTAACACAACATTGTATGTAAACTTGGAAACTCTGCTACACGAAGGTCTACCAGTAACATATTACCCCAATTCTTGCTTCTATTTCGGTCATATCGATTAAAAATTTTTTTTTCAGCTTCGTAAAAGGTGATAAAATCAGACTCTTTTATCATTTTATCCAGAAAATCTTCAGCAAGTCTGGCATGACGTCTCAAGAGTAAATGTTTCAATTTTTTCTTACTATTAATGCACAGAGCATCACCAAATGCCAAATTTACTGGATTACATTGGCAATCAATATAGAGATGAGTGAGGTTACTATACAGTACTGGATCTACTGGTAGTTCGATAGCTTTAAACAGTGAACACCTAATGATAAGAATCGAAAGTTTCTGGCATTTCTGAAGAATGCTCTCAAGCCCTTCAATATTGTATGATTTTAAGGAAGCAATATCTGCAGAATATAAAAGATAGGCTTCCAGATATAAAAGAGACTCCAGATTTGATATCATTGAAAGCAAATGTTGACTAATAAAATAGTCTAATTCTTCAGTTGTAATAGATTCAAAGATGTGAAGACCCTTGAGTCTGGTCATTCTCTTAATGTGACCAATAACTCTTTCCTTTACTGCCAATTCTCTATCAGTTAGGACTCTTGCTGAACGTTCATCATGCTCTGAGTTGGGGGTAAGTGGTGAGAAAGAGCAGCATTTGACTGACAAATACTCCAAATATTTCATTTTCGACAAAAGATTCCAAAAGCGTTCTACATCAAAGTTGATGTTATCTCTGGAACTAGTAGAGAAACGAGACACATCTAATCCTCTTAGCTTGAGGCAGTGTACAGATAATGGAACAATGTAAGCATCAAGACAATCTGATATGATACTTCCCCTCAAATTGACCTCCAATACGTTAGGGGTCTCCTTGACAATCATACGAAAGGACTCAAGTGATACGGTTACAGAAGAAAATCTAAGTACAGTAATGTTAACTCCATATTGACTGTTATAAACTGACAGACCAGGAGTGACAGCTTCATCTTTAAAAACAGCATATCGTTGTCTAACATCATTATTCATTGGTGTGATCATATCTCTCATTGTAACCATTAGCTCTCCATTAGCAGTCACAGCAACAGATTCAGAACGATTGGGGCCAATTTCAAGCGAGTACTCGGGTACATCATAAAAATCAAAGTCCAAAGGTCGGCGAAATTTCCTATAAGCTGCAAAATAAGCTGAATGAGTAATATTGGGAAGATGGTGTATTCTCCTGGACCAATATGTCTTGTAATAAGTTGAAACGATGATAAATGTTGGAGGTAAGCAGTTGTTCAACAACCATAGCTCAAAAAATCGTACCTGTTCAGAATGATTGTAAACCAGTACAACTTTTTTTAACTTAGCAAAAATTGCAAAATATTTTTCACTAGAAGAAGGAAACTTGTAAGGAAAAGTGAGGCTTAAGAACTGCAAATAATGTAAAGCTGAATAAATCTTCTCCAAAGCATTGGCAGAAATATGAAACCCATATAGATTCAAAGTATGAATGTTATCAAAGCTAACAATCATTCGCTGATATGCACTGAACAGTAGCTCTCCCCTTAAACTCAGTGACTGTACATGTGGACGACATGTTTGTAAAGCCGACTTGATGAATGGAGCATTTGTCTTATGATAGGCATCATCAATGACAACGTTTCTCCACAAATAAGGATCAGAACATATCATGTAGAGCCTTCTATTGACTAATCTAAGACACATCTTATCTCTGAGTGGCAGTATCATGAATATCTCTTGTATTATCTCATTTGGCAGGGAATCAAACGGGTTAGTATATTCCTCATCTTCATAATCATCTAGCAAAAGAAACTGATGTGCAGCAGATCGACTGATAGTAATGATAGGAGATTCTGAGTCGTCAAAATTACCATCAGACTTGTCATCAAAGAGAGAAAGATCAAATTTAAGTCTTTTACAGTAAGGTTCCATTGTTAATACTTGATACACGAGAACTCACGTGGTCTGTATGTTGCGCATGCGCACCGGCCCAATTCCCATCTCTAAGGATCACGTGAGTTGTATTTCTGCACTCACGTGATCAAAAAGTAAATTGAAGGGGAGGTTGTTTTATTAGAACACATTGGTCACATGATTACGGTATATATCTCCATTTTGCTTTGCTGTGTGTTTGCAAGGAAGGAGAAGAGAAGGATTTAAAGCTACTTATTGACAACTTTTCTGTATTAAAACTCTTTGGTAAGTAGCATTGTATCTTATCCGCCACTTTTGATCTCTTTTGCAGGTGAGAGGCGGAATTTAAAATGGCCTACTCTTTATTTCGCTCTGAGGAGATGACCCTGGCCCAGTTGTTCCTCCAATCTGATTCAGCTTATTCCTGCGTCAGGGAACTGGGAGAGATAGGGAAAGTACAATTTAGAGATGTAAGCTAATGTGGATTTGTTAAGTTCACTATTTCATAATAACCCCTTTAGCTCAATCCCGATGTCAGTGCTTTTCAGCGGAAGTTTGTGAATGAAGTTCGTCGCTGTGATGAAATGGACAGGAAACTAAGTGAGTTTTAAATATTCTGACATAGCACTTTGGGTGTAGTATTGGTTTGACCATTATACTGAAGTTGCTAAACCAGTTCTTTGAACAAGTCTTACCAGTTTTTGAGCATTGTATTGATCAATGGACTCATTTTGTTATCAGCTTTGTATTGCGTATTAGTGTGAATAGATATGGATTGTACTAGTTATTAATTATTAATGGTTATCTAACTATTAATGAATATTTATGGAACTTGCCAATTATTTTTAAATACATCTTTTTTAGAATTTTTGACTAATGAATTGGAAAAGGCAAACATTGAGCCAAGACCAGCTGGTAACATTGGAGCACCTGATCCTCAGGAACTCATTGATTTGGAAGTAAGAGAAAGGAAGAAATGGATTTTAAATATGGCCTCCTCTTTCTCTCCCAGAGTAAGTTTGAAGTCCTTGAGGCAGAGGTTAAGGAGATCAATACGAACAAGGAGACTCTGAAACGGAATCGTCTTGACCTGATTGAGTTGCAGCAGATTCTAGTGAAAGCTCAAATATTCTTTCAAGAAGTGAGCGCTTGCTTTCTAATTAGTTCCTTTATAGCCACACCCACTTGTAGGCGGAGCAATACAGTAACTTGAGGGCCCCACCCACTGGATTTGAAGTTGGAGCTGAAGAGAGAGGTTAAAAATTCGCTGCTTAATAAATTAAAGGATAAATAGTTTACTATTATTTAATTAACTAGTGCTTTTAATTAACCAGTAGCCGTACCGTGTGATATATTCTTTATAATTTCTCTATTAGCTTCGTCTCCTACAGGTCTTCTTGACGAGGGGCCTGACCCAGCTACCCAGGGATCCCAAACTAAATTCATGTAATTAGAATATATTACGTTCATATTCTTTTAATTAGAATATATTACGTTCATATTCTTTTAATTAGAATATATTACGTTCATTCTTTTAATTGTGTGTTTTAGGTTTGTTGCAGGTGTCATTGCCCAGGAGAGATTGGCTTCATTTGAGCGTGTTCTCTGGAGGGCATGTCGGGGGAACGTCTACATGAGACAAGCTGCAATTGAAGTTCCTCTTGAAGACCCAACAACTGTGAGAGACTAACTCTTTATTCTCCGATCTTTTAAAATTTATGATACCCCTCCCCCCTCTCTCCATCCATTATAATAAAGGGCACATTGGTCTACAAGGTGGTGTTTGTTCTCTTCTTTCAAGGAGATGCATTGAGGACAAGAGTGAGAAAAATATGTGAAGGGTAAGACATACATATAGATACTTTTATTATTTTATTTCACTTCATACCTCCTCTACAGGTTCCGGGCCACTCTCTACCAGTGTCCTGAGACTGCCCCTGAGAGACAGGATATGGCCACTGCCGTTAATAACAGGCTGATTGATCTTGATACCGTCCTTAACACAACACAGGAGCACAGCCGGACACAGCTCCAGGAGATTGCTCAAGAAATTGACATTTGGCAGCAAAAGGTATCGATCTACTAATCCAATTGTTTTTTTTAATCACTTCTCTTCATTGAGTAGGTGACTAAAGTGAAGGCCATTTACCATACAATGAACATGTTCAACCTTGACATGGCCCAGCATTGTCTTGTTGCTGAGTGTTGGTGTCCAGTTGAAGATCTTGATCAAATACAGGGAGCTTTAATGAGAGGAACAGTAAGAGCTGGTCACATGACTATCGCATGACCTATCCTCTTGTTATAGGAGCGGAGTGGGTCGACTGTCCCTTCTATTCTGAACAGGATGCACACCAGAGACTCTCCGCCCACTTATTTCAAGACTAATAAGTTTACGAAAGGTTTTCAAAATATTGTTGACGCTTACGGAATAGCTTCATACCAAGAGGTTAACCCAGGTGAGAGAGAGAGGAGGAGGTGGAGCTTCATGTCTTTATGTCTTTCCTTTAGCTTTGTACACTATCATCACCTTTCCTTTCTTGTTTGCTGTCATGTTTGGTGATGCCGGTCACGGTCTTATAATGGCCCTGTTCGCTCTGTCTCTTGTTATCTTTGAGAAGAAGCTTGAGAAATCTGTTGGAGAAGTGAGTAACACATCAACTTATAAAACAGCAACTTCTCTCTTCCTTCCATTGTAGATGTTTGGTACAATCTTCCATGGCCGCTACATTATACTGCTGATGGGTCTTTTCTCCATATACACTGGTACCATTTATAATGATATCTTCTCAAAGTCTGTCAACCTTTTTGGGTCTCACTGGAACCTTTCCTACGTTAGCAACGGGTAAGACCCTCTCATTAGAGACTAATCAATTTGATATTCTCTCTTTTGTTTTAAAGGGACCCTTGCTGTTTCTCAACGGACTGGTAAGTATATTTATTTTATTTATTTAATTATTTATAATTATTTATTAACCAGTACTAGAGTATATGACAATGAAGCCACAGGCGTTACAACTGTGCCCCCTGAGGCCCAAATATTCCAGGACCCCTACCCTATCGGGCTTGATCCAGTAAGTCACTTGACATGGAGTCACATGATCATATTAATTAATTGAGTGGGCAGTGATGTTTGTTCGTAGATTTCCGTTCTCCTGATGAATCTTGATGTTACCATAGTTACCCAACCCTGAGCCCCTCCTACTTGTCCATTTTTATTTAATTAATTTATAAATAATTTTTTATTTATTTAATCATTCTCTCTCTCTCTCTCTCTCTCTCTCTCTCTCTCTCTCTCTCTCTCTTGCAGATTTGGCAGGTGGCAGAGAATAAGTTGCTCTTCACTAACTCTTACAAGATGAAGATGTCCATTACTCTTGGAGTCTTCCAGATGACATTTGGTGTCATTCTAGGGATATTCAACTACGTGTAAGCATTAATATCATCAATTTATTTATTTATTTATTTATTTATTTATTTATTTAGGCATTTTAAAGATTACATCAGTATATTTAGTGAATTTATACCTCAGATGTTGTTCCTGCTCTGTATCTTTGGTTGGCTGGTGGTTCTGATGTTCATTAAATGGATAGTAGCCTACTCTCCAATATTTACTGTGAGTCATAATGTATCATGTACAGTGTATCATTAATGGCTGGTGTGTGTGTGATGAATATTATTATTATAATCTCATGTCTCTTCTGATGCTAAATGAAAGACAATAATAATAATAATAACTGATACACACTCTATGTCCATCTATGTGTGTATATCCTGATCATTATTAATGTTTATTCATTTCTATTCTCCTCCTCCTACCCACAGGCTCCTAGCCTTCTCATCACGCTCATTAACATGTTCCTCCAGTTTGGGCAGTCTCCTGTAGTTAAAGATGACTGTACTGATGTAACAGCTAATGATCCTTGTCTCTCGGATAACCAGTACTCAGTCTTTAGTTCTAGTGTTGAAGCTGCCAATGGTCAGGTAAAGTTATCCTAGTAAACATTGTATTTCAAATGATTTTATTTATTTCTTTTTTTAGAAATTTTTCCAAATAATTCTGGTGATTGTAGCCGTAGCCTGTGTCCCGTGGATGTTGCTAACTAAACCGATTTACAAGATGATAAAGCAAAAGAGAGCACTCAAGAATGTAAGGACCTCCCCCTCTGGTCATGTGACCGTCTGTCATGTGATGACTCATGGGGTTTGATTGAGACCCAACAGTCACTGATAGTAACATCAATTGTTCCTACTGATGACAGCTATAGCCTATTAATAATTATTACTATTATTATTATTGTTATTATTATTGTTATTATTATTATTGTAGAACTATTCTCGTCATATTGAAACTGGTTCTGATTCTGAGACAGGTGATACTGATACTGATATGGTTAAGCATCATGATGACGACGATCAGCCAAACAAGCAATCAGGAGACGAGGGGGAGGAGCATGTAAAGACACACCCACTGTTGTTTATTAACTAACTAATTGATTTATTTAGACGGAGACCTCAGAGCTGTTTGTCCATCAGGCTATACACACCATTGAGTATTGCCTTGGTACCATCTCAAACACTGCTTCGTACCTACGACTGTGGGCTCTGAGTCTCGCTCACGCTGGTAATGTCCAGATTTATTTTAAATAAGTTATTATTATTATTATTATTATTATTAGAGTTATCTGAAGTGTTGTGGACCATGGTGTTACAGATTGGTCTGAGAGGTATCACTGGTTTCTTCATTCTTGATGGAATTGTCCTAGTGCCACTTTTTGCCGGTTGGGCAGGTGAGGATTGGGATTGTGATGAAATTGAATCCGAAATATCTCTTTATGCTATGTAGAAAGTTTTTGACTTCAATTTAATGAGTTTCAGCCATTCAAAAATCATGAAAAGCACCCTTATAGCCCATGCTTTCAAAACCACACCTCCATTGTTAGAAGAGTTGATGTTTTTTGTATATTTTAGTATTGACCGTTGGTATCTTGCTTGTAATGGAAGGACTGTCAGCTTTCCTTCATGGCCTTCGTCTTCACTGGTAAGAAATACTTTCTCGTTTATACTTTTAATATTATATTCTGTTAGGGTCGAGTTTCAGAGCAAGTTCTATGCGGGTGCTGGTTACAAGTTTGCTCCATTTTCCTTTGAAGCCATACTGTCTGGTGAAGAAGACTCTGGATAACTTATAATATAAACTCTGTGTGTGTGCATATCTTATGTTATAATGCTGATCTTTAGTTAGTATCAATAGTGTTTATTAGCAGTAGTTATGTAGTTCATTTAAATTAGAAAGTGATCATGTGCTTGTAATACTGAGTTTTATCGCTAGTGTCTAGGTTTCAAAGGATGGACAATGGTTTTTTGGTTTTTACAATTAATATTTAATTTTAAAAGACTATCATATAATGTGTTCTTGCAGATTATCAACAGCTCATGATTCGACTACATAGTTAGGATGAACCATGAGGTATGGATCCTGTTCCTCTTTGCTTGCTCCTTCTCTTTCAACCTCCATACTCCCATCACCTTCTTTGTCATCTCTCAGCTCCAACAGCACCCGATCCTACACAAATAGAAATAGAAACACAATACAACGAGTTATTAGTGTATATTGTTTGGTTATACAACATGGTAAAGAATTACTGTGTAAAGAGTAACTTAGGCTGTACACCAATATACAGGATCATTAATCACTAGCTATACTAAGGCACTCAGTGTTTAGTGGAGTCTCTCCTTACATGTTTAACTAGCCTATCAATGACCATGTCCACCAGTAGTTTGGTTTCGGCCAGTTCGTGTTCATCCTCAATATTCTCTTCCATTGTTCCAAGGTACCAGTTGACCAGTGTACTCCTGTGTACACCCTTGTCCCCCTGATCCTCTTCCGAAGCTTCCTCCATCCTCCGCAGGTGGAGTATCAGCATGTTAGCAATGCTCCGATACTGCTCGTAAGTGACTCTTATCTTCCGTCCAACTGGTTTGACCAGTTTATCCTCGTCACCCCCCTGGGGGATATTACCAGAGTTGATACCATCATCAGCAAGACCAGTGGATCCTTCCTGAGCCACGCCCCTTTCTTCCTCCTCCTCTCCCTCTACAAGTTGAGGTTCATCTGCTCCGAAGTCAATCTCTGGTGTCTCGACTCTTATTATCGACTTGTTAAGGAGCCGGAATGCTTCTTGGACATGTTTCGTGAGTACCACATCAGAGCAGTGTATGCGGGCCATGGCCTCGGAAAGTCTGATCATACTTTCCAGCTGTCGGACTGTTATACGCCATGAGGACTTTGTGCCACCTGCAGGAGTGAGGGTGGGGTAGCCCCTGCTAATTAGTGACTGATTCATTACCTGATGTATCCCTCAGTCTTAGTCTTTTGTACTGCTCAACAATGAACTCCTTACTCTCAGGGGAAATCTGTAAATAATAATAATAATAATAAAATAATAATAATAATAATAATAATAATACCTTTGGTTTAAATTGTCTTGCAAATAGCAGGTAGCGTTGAATCTCATCCTAAACACAAGCAAACAGTAGATATCATATCATGTGATAGTCACGTGACCATCAGCTCACTAGTGTATAGACCCTGTCCACTGAGTCATCTTTCTTACAATGAAGATCAACAATACGTCTGGCAATGGCATAATCTGTAACCTAATAATAATAATTAATGGATTATTAATTGATCAATTAATTAATCAATTAATGGATTATTAATTGATCAATTAATGAATCAATTAATGAATTATTAATTGATCAATTAATTAATTAATTACCTCGTTAGTTTCATCGACTAATATGAAGAAGAGGTCAAATCGTGACATGATGGGAGCACTGAGATTAATGTTGTGCTAAAAAGAAAAAAATTGTCCATTAGAAATAAAATAATAATAATAATAATAATAATAATACTTGGAGAGGTTTGCTTCTCTCATATCTTCCTCCTATTGGATTAGCAGCTGCTAATATGCTGGCCCTGGCGTTAAGACTGGCCTTCACTCCAGCCTTAGTGATGGATATTGTTTGTTGCTCCATTGCCTCGTGTATAGCCACCTGGTCCCGTGGGTCCATCTTATCAAACTCATCGATACAGCAAATACCCTAACGAAACATGATTACTGCACATGTCAAGTGCTGGTAGATTCTAGATCTAACAATGGCCTCATTCTTACATTGTCTGCTAGCATCAATGCGCCTGCTTCTATTACAAATTCTCCTGACTCTTCATCCCGCACTACAGCTGCAGTGAGTCCAGCTGCACTGGAGGCCTTCCCGCTAGTGTAGACAGCACGAGGAGTGAACTCTTCTACCATCCTAAAGGAAAGGGAAGGAGCCATTATAAATTTATAAAGAGTAAAGACAAATATTATAATGGCTCAATTATATAGCAACTTGTACATGTATATGCATCAGATAAAGTTATAAAAATTGAGAATTCTCTTCTTTTCATTTTTGGCAAAATTTGGCCCGAGACCATGTACTATAGTACAGGGACTTTGGCCCAATTTTGGAGCAACTTAAAAATTCATAAAAAATCCAAACTTGATCAGAATCAGCTCAAACTTGCTACACAACATAAGAACATGTATATGTATCAGATAAAGTTATAAAAATGAAGAATTCTCTCCTTTTCATTTTTGGTAAAATTTGGCCCGAGACCATGTACTATAGTACAGGGACTTTGGCCCGATTTTGGAGCAATTTTAAAAATTCGTAAAAAATCCAAACCTGATCAGAATAAGCTCAAACTTTCTACACAACATAAGTACATGTATATGTATCAGATAAAGTTATAAAAATAAAGAATTCTCTCCTTTTCATTTTTGACAAAATTTAGCCCCAGACCATGTTATAGTACAGGGACTTTGGCCCGATTTTGGAGCAATTTTAAAAATTCGTAAAAAATCCAAACTTGATCGGAATCAGCTCAAACTTTCTACACAACATAAGTACATGTATATGTATCAGATAAAGTTATAAAAATGGAGAATTCTCTCCTTTTCATTTTTGACAAAATTTGGCCCGAGACCATGTACTATAGTACAGGGACTTTGACCCAATTTTGGAGCAACTTTAAAAATTCGTAAAAAATCCAAACTTGATTGGAATCAGCTCAAACTTGCTACACAACATCAGTACATGTATATGTATCAGATAAAGTTATAAAAATGAAGAATTCTCTCCTTTTCATTTTTGGCAAAATTTGGCCCGAGACCATGTACTATAGTACAGGAACTTTGGCCGATTTTGGAGCAACTTTAAAAATTCGTAAAAAATCCAAACTTGATCGGAATCAGCTCAAACTTTCTACACAACATAAGTACATGTATATGTATCAGGGAACATAATGACAGTAGTCAATCTAAAACCATAATTATTATCATTACTTTAGTATTTGACTCTTTGCTGTGCTAGGATCTCCAACAATACACACGTTTATATCGCCACGGAGATGAGTCCTCTCTGTGGTAACCTTAGGTACTCCACCAAACAGCATCAGCAAGACTCCTCTCTTCACCTCATCGTTCCCGTGTATTGTCGGAAAGAGAGAAGAGATGAGATTCTGATACAAGTTCTTATCCTGACTCATGCTGTATAGCCTCTCCCATTCACTCATTGTCATGTGGGACCTTATCTCTTCAGCTGTCACGCATTCATTTGGGACATTTAAACCGCCAAACTACAAGAACACAAGAACATTACACGAGGGTATGTGATATAGACTACCTTATCATTTGGGATTACAGAACAAGCCAGGAACGCCAGCCGATATGTTAAATCTCGAACCCCTAACATTTTTAGCCCCCTCACCCCGTCGTTATCAAACCCCCTGTTCCCTCCATCTTGCTGCTTGATCCTTGAGGTCTCTATGGACGCATTGGTTCTTATCTGTGATACGTCGGGTACCACGATGAGGGTACCAATGAAATCACACTTATCCCCAGCTTGAGCCGACTCCACAGCATCTGCTCTTAATATTATCTCCAAACTATTAAAATAATAATTATTATTAATTATTGTTCGTTTTTTGCTGCCATCTTTGTTGCTATAGTTACTATCATATACTCAAAAATCAAGCAAAAGACCATGTACACTGTACACATGTGGTAGGTGTAGCTTGTGGTAGGTGTAACTCGTAGTACCTTCTTGGAATGCTGCCCCTCGGCAGTTCTTGCTGGGTTTCTTGTATTCTAACTTTCTGAAAATCAACAAACTTTGAGGTCGTCATGTCCAACAAGAACCTCTTCCTGTTGGTACAGTTTGGGTTACGGCAAGCAGTCGGCTAAAGGAGGGAAAAGAGGTGTGTCAGGTGTGTGGGTGTTAACCACACCCACCTGTGAATACTTGAACTGTTGTTCAATCCCAGTGATGGTTGTCTGGCACTCCAGACACATAAAAGTACCAGACACTAGCTCAGGATGAACTGGGTGTGTCCTCACCACCTGACCACTGATCCTCAAGAGGGTCCCAACTTTAGACGTGGATAATTCACGTACCCTAGTAATTAATAATAATAATAATAAATAAATAAATAATAATAATTAATTAATTGTTTACTTGTGGCGTGTGTGTACATCAACAAAAGAAACGTAGCAGTCAATATCGTTGATATTAACATTCTCCTTCACATGGTCACGAGCAAAATTCTCAACTGCACGACACAGATACGGAAATACTCTAAAAACATATCGTTATATTTGTCAAAATAAAAGGAACCATTATGTACTGTACATGATCTCCTTTTAATGTAATATGTCACTTAATTGAATGACCACACACTAATTCATTAAAATTAGCACTTAAACTATGGATGGCAGTCATCCTTTCAAAATGGAATCCAGACCTTTACCTGTAGTAATGCTCTTGTATTACACCTGCTAGACGAGTGGAGTACTCCTCCAGGTCCTGGAAACTAACAGTTAAAGTGCATTTCTCCATTCTTTGGAGCTCAGACGCAGCCGGGAGGTACTTCAACTCACCATTCTCAGTGCACCTAGAGGGGTGGGTGGGGTGGAATTATAATTATCATTGGTCAAGTTTCTTGATTCGTACGATTCTAAAAAGTCTTGGAATAGCTTTTGGACTCTTTCTCCTAAATCATCCTTCACCAGTGGCTGCCTGTTTTGAGTTCTGTTAGCAACATCCATCAGTCCTTTCCTTATCTTTAGTTTGTCAGTTTCACGATGCGCGGGTACTTGAGTCTGTTATTAATTAACTATTTAACTATTAATAACTTATTAACCTTAGGCTAGGCCTGAGGGGATTATTCCCAAAAAATTTCCTATTATTCTATTCCCAAATTCTTAATTTTTTTGTAATTATTCTTCTGTATTTATGGCTATTATTCTCAAATTATTCATGTAACATAAGATAA